GATGGACGGATGGACAGATGGACAGATGGAGATACAGATGGATGGATGGACAGATGGAGGGACAGATGGATGGATGGACGGATGGACAGATGGACAGATGGAGATACAGATGGATGGATGGACAGATGGAGGGACAGATGGATGGATGGACGGATGGACAGATGGACAGATGGAGATACAGATGGACGGATGGACAGATGGAGGGACAGATGGACAGATGGATGGATGGACGGATGGACAGATGGACAGATGGAGATACAGATGGACGGATGGACAGATGGAGGGACAGATGGACAGATGGATGGATGGACGGATGGACAGATGGAGGGACAGATGGATGGACAGATGGAGGGACAGATGGACAGATGGAGATACAGATGGACAGATGGATGGATGGATGGACAGATGGAGGGACAGATGGATGGATGGACGGATGGACAGATGGAGGGACAGATGGACAGATGGATGGATGGACGGATGGACAGATGGAGGGACAGATGGATGGACAGATGGACGGACGGACAGATGGACAGATGGAGGGACAGATGGACAGATGGAGGGACAGATGGACAGATGGAGAGACAGATGGACAGATGGATGGATGGATGGACTGAGGGACAGATGGACAGATGGATGGACAGATGGAGGGACAGATGGAGGGACAGATGGATGGACAGATGGATGGACGGAGGGACAGATGGACAGATGGAGATACAGATGGACAGATGGATGGATGGATGGACAGATGGAGGGACAGATGGATGGATGGACGGATGGACAGATGGACAGATGGAGGGACAGATGGACAGATGGATGGATGGACGGATGGACAGATGGAGGGACAGATGGACAGATGGATGGATGGACGGATGGACAGATGGAGGGACAGATGGATGGACAGATGGACGGACGGAGGGACAGATGGACAGATGGAGAGACAGATGGACAGATGGACAGATGGAGGGACAGGTGGACAGATGGATGGATGGATGGATGGATGGATAGGACAGGTTGACTTTGGGGAATTGAAAAGTCTCTTCCAGAAGCTAATGCTAGCCTGATTTATTCAAAGACCAGTTCTGGTGTGACTTTGGGACCGTTGTCCTGTTGGACCAGCTTGTGTCCAGGTTTCAAGTGTCCACCTGTCAGTTTGAGAATAGATTGAATAATTTGGAGGAAGTCCTTCGCCTTTGTATAATAAACCAGCAGCACAGTATGATGCTAACACCAGAATGCTTAGACACAAAACCCTTGAAACAGGACTTATGGTCTGAGTGTTCCTAACCCACCTGGTCCTCTGTGCTGTGAAGGGAGGAAGTAACAGAACTGTCAAAAGGTGAAAGCTAAAGTGGTTGACCAGCTAGTTGCAGGATTAAACAACAGATTTATTACTGAAGGGAAATTGATCTTGGCACAGAAACTATGGATAGAGTTAACCAATAGAGTAAATTCATCATKTGTTGAAAATGATACAAGGCAGAGGGTCAGACGTTACGCTCCATGTCAACCCAGCTGAGTTCTGTTCCACGTCTCTTGTTTCTGCAATGCTTGCTTCATTTCTGAAATCTGTGTTTGTTGGTTCTGGCTGGTTTCTTCTGTGAATTTTAAAGTTTATAGCAGCTTAAAGTCAGTCTGGGCTGTGGCCACTTCACTCAACTGTTTTCTGACACTTGGTTCAGTCTTCTTATATCTGAAAACCTCTCGCTGATTCCTCCAAACATCCTTCTTGTCTTTGTGTCCAGACTACTCAGTGTTTGTCTCATTCTTTTATCAAACTTTTCTCCTGAAGACATTCGTCTTGTTCATGTGATCAACTGCAGATTTTAGTCCAGTGTGAAGGTGTGGCTTTTGGAACAGGATCTTCTTTGGTGTTCTCAGTTCATTGTGATGTAAAACTACCTGTACTGTGGATAGGAACACTGGTTTTTGTGTTTTTGTTATTCAAACAAAAAAAGCAGTTTCAATTTAAAAAATGTAATTTCAATAAAAAATATTCTACAAAAAATATCTACCAAACAAAAAATCATTTTCAATTAAAAAAACTGAATTTAAAAAAGGTTTTGAACTAAGAGAACATGAACTTCTGGGCGGGGCCTAAGGAGGAACTATGTAAGATGGACTGAAGCGATTTCCTCTTGCACTCAGGACACATCTTACACAGGTCCTCCTTAGGCCCCGCCCAGATGTTCATGTTCTCTCTCTTTGAGATTCAACCAAAGATTTCTGATATGTGAAAAAATGTTTCAGTTTTTGATTGAAAAATTTCAATTAAAATTGCTTTTGTGTTTGGTTGAATAATAAAAACACAAAATTACCTCAKCTTCCCGCAGTTTCTAGTTCATGGCAGGCTTAAGCGTTGATGGTTCCTGGATTGTTTCTGAACATTGGAACAAATTTCATTCCATCTGATGGGAACAGACAAATACTGGTCATTTAATGAGTGCTATGAAACTGGTTCAGGTCTCAGCTCAGAGCCTCTGCTGGTTTGGAGGTGGAAGGGACAGGTTGGAACATGAGATCAGGCTGGAGTTGCTGGAGTTTTGACATTGCAAATGACATAGTAATCTGTGGTGAGAGTAGAGAGCCGAGAGGTGGAGGTCTGCACTGGAGGAGGAGAAGAAGAAGAAGTCAGTGGAGATCAGACAGAACACACGTGTGAATGTGAAGGAGGCAGGCAGAAAAATGAAGTTGAAAGAAATGTGCATCAGGAAAGTTGTTGAGTCCAAACAGCTGGGGTCAACCATCCAGAGAAATGGACCATTTGGGTTAGGTTAGGGTTGGAGTGAAGGTTATAAAGTAAGACTGAAGTCCTTTCATTTACAAATCATACAGCCCTTMATAGGTTGGATGATATTTTTATTCTACTTGCTCCTAATCATCTCCCTGTTGCCTGCAGTTAATTCAAAACTCTGCTGTGTGTCTTCTAACAGAAGACATGAGCACATCAGACCGTCAGACCATCAGACCATCAGACCATCAGACCATGTCCACTTCTTCTTTGTATTGACTTATTTTTTTTACTCACTTTAAAAGTTATTAATGGCTCAGGGCTCAATTTCTCATCAGAACCTGTTAATTTTCCAAACCTTAAAAGAGGCCTGAGATCATCTGAGCCACATGTTCTTATTGCACTTAAGGACTCTGGACCAACCTGCCCCCCAAACTCTGGACCAACCAACCCCCCCAGACTCTGGACCAACCAACCCCCCCAGACTCTGGACCAACCAACCCCACAGACTGTAGACCAACCTACCCTTTGGTATCTGTACAGTCT